ATCATGTATCATCATAATCACCATGTATCATCATTATCATGTCTCATCATAATCACCATGTATCATCATAATCACCATGTATCATCATCATCATGTATCATCATCATCATCATCATGTATCATCATAATTAATACTCTCTTATCCCATTCCATTTAATCTATCAACAAATCCATCCCTTCAGTGGTTTCCTAATATCCTTAATACCAACATATATTTCACTCAAAAAGGTTTCTTCAGTCCTGTGGGAATGGAAAACAACGATATTCCAGACGGCAATATTATGGGCGAAGTGCATGAAGAAAGAAAACATTACAGACTAAACCTCCCCTATCAGCCCAAGTTAACAGGATCGAGTTATACTCAGGACGGGACTGATCATTTTGTAAGGATAACTTTTGGATACATTCCATTCATGGTAACGGGGATTGCAATGCAAGGAAGAAACAACGAAGATCAATACGTGATCAATTATGTACTTTTGTTCAGTCGTGATTTAGGGGAATGGTTCAATTACGTAGAAGACGGCGAAACCAAAGTAAGTGCAAATATCTTTTGTAGAATAGTGACAAAAAAGCAAAGTTCGAGTGCCTGGCCGAATAAAGCTCTCTTAAGTTAAGAGTACTCGTAGACCATTGTAAGAGAGCCTTATGCAACCTGACCGTGGAGTACCCTTATCATAAGAAAGCTTTATATAGATGTACGGTACACAAATGATTCATATACACTGAAAACAAATACATTTTTAGTTTGTTTCCGAGGTCAATTGATGAATAATGATATCGACAAAATAAACTGTGACACGTTTATTTTATTTTATTGATTTGAAGAAAAAAAAATGGATTCAAAAAGCATTGGGCATGTTATTTTCTTTTCTTTTTTTCTTTAAGGGGCTTTCATCACGCTTGAGTTTTACCAGCAAAAAATAAAAATAAAAATAAAAATAAAAATAAAAATAAAAATAAAAATAAAAATAATAAAATTCTTAGAAAGCACATCCCAAAAAGATTTGAACTGTTTTACAATGACATGTATTTCTAAAACATCCCCCTTCAGGGTGGGGTAGGGAACAATTTTTCGATATAACGTAAACAGGAACGCATCGCTCGTAATCAATAGGTAATGGTAGTTTCTTTTTGCACCGCAGGTCCTTTCTGCTGCTAAATATGACGATAATATCGGAATAGTGGTAAAGCAATTTAGATATGAAGTGAAGGCAAGGGCCGCGAAAGTCATCATCAAGCTTTTTTCACGAATCCCGGCTTTTCGTGTCGAGTTTTATGGATATCCTGGTGAGTTAACTGAATACTATATCGAAATTATATTCTAAATAAAAACAGCTCATGTATACTTAATAGCTCTCCTTGTTTTGAGCCTTTCAAAGGTTGCGGGGAAAACTGGAAACGAATAGGACGCGTGCTGAATCTGCAAAAGGCAGGAGTGTTTWATCAGGTTTAAAAACATGGGGCGTAGCCGTGACGTGTATAGTCAGTCCAATTTCATCAAAGGCCTATGAGTTATAAATGAGATTTCGAAAGTAAGAGTGATATATTTCCGTTTTTATTAGTTGACAACGCAGCCCTTGGAATGTCGTCTGGAGCCATTCCCGACTCCGCTATCACCGCTTCTAGCTTCAAAACAGGGTACGAACCGAATAAAGCAAGGCTCAAAGCTACAGGACACGACAACTGGTGCGCAGATGAACCGATTGTGAACGAATTTATCAAGGTGGGCATTGGTAGGATGGTGGTTGTGACAGAGATTGCTTTAGGGGGTGGTTTACAAAATGGTGATGGAAGAGTCAGCAAGTACACGGTATCTCACAGTGTAGATGGAAAGATTTGGGAAGTGTATCATGGTGAAGAAGAGCTTTACAACGAGGTAAGATCAATCGCAATTACCTACCGTTTTATATATAGCTTTAGAGGGTGGGACGTTTTTTGGGGGGGAGGGGGGGGGGACAGGCGAGGGGTGACAGTAAGCAGGCTAAATTATCCAAGGAGCCATCAAAACAATAGACTTAAGTCATCTATTTTTAAAAATAGAATTTCTTTTTCGATCAAATGAAAACGATAACAAGCGTTTTAATTACAACCAAAAAAAGAAAAATCTACCAAAAATCACCACAGTGGACCAATTGTTGCGAATTCTCACATATTTTTGGACTTTTTTGGACTATAGCCCATAGATTTCATCCGTTTTGTGTATTTTTTCACTTCCCTCAAAATTTATTTCGATTTTCAAAAGGGCCATTTTTGGCCCATTTTGGCCAAAAAGCATGGACTATAGCCCATGGTTTTAATAGATTTAGGGTGTTTTCTGACTTCCCTCAAAAATTATCTTATTTTGGAAATCCTATTTTGGACAAAAAGCATTAACATTAGCCAATGGTTTTCACTCATTTTGGGTATTTTTTCAACTTCACTCCAAGATAATTGCAATTTGGAAAAGGGTCATTTTTGGCTTATTTTGACTAAAAAGCATTGACGATACCTCATGGTTTTTATCCATTTTGAATGTTTTTTTAATTCCTTCAAAAATTACCTGAATTTCGAACACGGCAATAGCATGGATTATAGCCCATGATTTTCATCCATTTTGGGTATGTCATTTTCGCCTATTTTGCCCAAAAAGCATAGACTATAGCCCATGGTTTTGATGAATTTTGGGTGTTTTTTGACTTCCCTTAAAAATTATTGCAATTTGCAAAAGGGTCATTTTTATCCCATTTTGATCAAAAAGCATGGACTATAGCACATGGTTTTGCTCGATTTTGGGTGTTTTTAGGTATTTTTTGACTTCCCTTCAAAATTCACTCTTTTTGGAAAAGGTTCTATTTTGGACTATTTTGGCCAAAAAGCATGGACTATAGCCCAT